AGTAAAAATGTGTGTATATAATTGACTGTCGACTAATCCCACTTACAAAGGTTATTTATGTTTCCAAAGGCCCTGGAGGCTGTCAATATCCGACTACGCCATCTTTACCCAGACAGTGACCAGATATTTGATGTGGTGCTAATGACCAATCACCACGCACAAGTTGGGGTCAGACTCATCAAAAGCATCAACCATTACGGTGAGTGTTCTAAATAAGCCATGCTGGACACTCGTGTTGCTAATAACTCACACTTTCAGATTCTTACTCTCTAAATTACAAAGACACATTGCAAACAGGAGCTGCCGTGGTGTAATGGTTAGTACACTGAATTTACAATACAGAGGTCGCCGGTACAGATATAATCCAATGGCAGGCTGATCGATGCCCGGCTGCGGTCAACCATGTTATGTATGCAGATCTGATAATTGCCACCCACTCTAAGAAGTTGGATACAATGCTGTAGAACCTGGAGCAATGCTACCGAGGGATGGGGCCTTATCATCAGCCCCACAAAAACAAAGCACCTGCTGGATATTTTATGTAATCGAATCATCCCTTCCACTCCCCATGAGTGATGGTGCAGTAGTGAGAGAATGAAGCGTTTCTGTACCTGTGGAGTGTGCTTATGACCAGCTGCGGTTTCGCAGGTCTCCAAATCAAGTGGCATCATTTATTCAGCTGCATAATGCTGTATGGAAGCAACTCGTCTATTGCTCCATATGAAACTCCGGCTCTTCTCAGAAAAAGTTATGCCCTCCCTTCTCTATACTTGTGAAATCTGAGCCCTTTCAGGAATATCGGTGCCAGTTTGAAAATTCCTCAGGCTTGCCTACGATCAATACTGGGTTTAACGAGACCTTGAAAAGAATCCTTGAAAGATATGCACATAGTCCTAATAGTGAGCTCCTCTGGCAGATGATGCTGCATTAGCCGGGTCCTGTAGCCCACATGCCCAGCCACTGCATGCCCAAGCAGCTTCTGTTTGACCGGTAGAGGGGGAAAAACAGGTGCTGCTCAGGCTAGAGAAGAGATGGACTGATGTGGGACAGAAGATTGTGGAGCTGATTGGAATTGCGGATGACTGGTACCAGTGGCGTTAAGATGGGCTTTTGTGGAGGAAGCTCGTGAATGCCTCTACTGGGCATTTGAAGGCTGTCGCCCTCCAGCAACAACGGAGAGCGGAGGAGCAATGCTCACAACAATGAGCGGAGCACTGGGTGGCTAATACGCAGCAAGTTGGCACAGTGGGAAGCACAGGTGGAGAATCTGCCAGTCATCTCAGTTGACCCATGGCATCTGGGTCTGTTCTGTGACCTTTTGCCAGTGAATCTTCGACATTTCACGTGGCTTTAAAGTACACGAAGCCTGGCACAAGCACCGTGGTGACATCACTAATAGTGATAAACGACAGTTGTTGTTGGTGATAATGGTGACCATGGTAGTGGTGGTGTTGATATTGGTGATGGCATATTTACAATGATGATGGCCATGGCAATCATAGTGTTGCACAATCCTCCAAATAAGATATAGTTGTGACGAAAATGGGTGGATAAACATAAATAGGATAAACGCTTTACTATGTCCCCCATCCATATAAAAGCAGATGTATTCTGTATTCGTAACGACCTTGGATGTATAAGGGTGTATTTCATATAAATCTTAGAGTTGCAAAGTGATGGTGTTAACAAATCATAAATGGTCGGTGTGGTAGATGCTGCACTAAACTTTACATGGCTCTCAACAGGTCTGAACATTGAGAGGTTTTGCATGACTGGTGGAAAAAGCCCAATTGGCTACCTCAAAGCGTATCTCACAAATTTGTACTTATCTGCCGATGCGGAAAAGGTGCAGGAAGCAATCGAGGAAGGTCAGTATAATTTTATTCACACGGATTACACATTTTGGAAATTTAAATAATATTCAGTGCATAACAGACGTGTTTCTCTCTGTAAAGTCTGATACTTCCTTTGCACAGGGATTGCTGCGGCAACCATGTTCAACCCACCGGAGGATCGCGTGTTAAAAAATGATGAGCTGCGTGTGGCGTTTGATGGCGACGCGGTACTCTTCTCAGATGAATCGGAGATAATAGTTAAGGAACATGGACTTGATACCTTCTTTGAACATGAAAAGAAGTTTGTCGACAATCCCCTTGCCCAGGTATAGCTCTGCACCTATTAATTTATTTTGACTCGCGGCAGAAATATTCATACGGTGAATGTAATGCGAGTGCGCTAATGAATGTGTAAGATATTTAACAAATGTTATATTACCTGCACTGTTGGACTTTGGAATTCCCTCCAATTGTCTATTTCCCCAAGCTCTTTTCACCAAGCTCTTTTCACCTTGCTCAATTGATTAAACATGTTAACCCTTATATATTACAACTTTGACATTGCTGTTTGTTGCTGGCATATTGGGCCTTTGGGGGGCAGTGCCAGCAACTGTATAACAAAAACATATATATCACATTTAATTATTTATCTCCAGGGCCCACTGAAGATGTTCTTGGAGACCCTAGGCCGCATGCAGAGAAAGTTTCACGTGAAAGGCGAGCGGCTGGGGTGCCCCATTCGCACTTACTTGGTAACCGCACGTAGCGCTGCCAGCTCGGGGGCTCGGGCCCTGAAGACCCTGCGGACGTGGGGCCTTGAGGTCGACGAAGCCCTCTTCTTGGCCGGTGCCCCGAAAGGACCGCTGCTTGAAAAGATCAGGCCCCATGTTTTTTTTGATGATCAAATGTTTCACGTCGAGGGTGCACACGAGCACGGCACTGTGGCGGCACATGTGCCGTTTGGAATTGGTCAAAAATACAATAAGTCTCAGAAAAAAAAGTAGAACGGCCAGTCTGGTTTTAACATCATGCAATTTAAGAGATAAATCTATCAATTTCTATGCTTACCTTTTTTTACTGTTTTTTGGTTGTTGGGGTTTTTGTTTTTCGTGTTTCTTCATTCTTGCCAACCGTCCATATTACAGGATGGAGGTGTTGCCAGGATTGGTATTGGCTGAGAGTAGGACACTCCTTGGGATATATTGTTTCATTCGCTGCTACTGCTGTGTGCTTTACTATGAACAAAAGCACTGTGGGAGTATATATTATATGGTAGACGTTAAAATGATTACATTGATCAATTCAGCATGAGCAACGGACCTCACCTTACGGTGTAGCATTTATCATTAGTCCTTTACATGACAACTGTTCCAAAGTAACATGTGTTTATACAAGAATAAACTTGACAAGCTTACTGTATAGGAAAACCATACGAGAGTGCCTTAATCTATAACAAAGTTGGGTGGAGTCAGGGATAGCGATGGTTTGCCACCCATTCAACTGCAAAATAATTTGTTCATCAGAAGTACATTTCATGTTTGTTATGGACACCTTTTATACTGAGTGTGGCCCTCTGCGTGTTTGCTCACGGTGCCCGCCTTCTTCCTCCGGCCTCCCCTTTCCCAGCCATCTCGCCCCACTTCAGGCGGTCTCATCCTCTCCCACCTCATCTACCACCCCCAACTGTCTTATATCTGGATTAAAGTAACGTAGTCTGAAATCCCCACTTGGTTGTTGTGTACTCTCCACTGACAGGTGATTTACTCATGTTCGGCATCACAACGTGATGAACTTCGTCAAATGTGTCAGTTGTCAAGACTTTATTCAGGAAGATAGGTGTACAATAATCCCTTGCCAACCGCGGGGGTTATGCTCCTATAAACTGCCGTGGTTGGCAATACTCAGGCTTTATGGGAAATAGGGGGTTAGGGCAACCGTAGCCACAGTCTCGAAACAATAACAAGCCTGAATGGGTCAAACCTGCCAAGTGGGCCGTGCAGTCCTTGAACTGTGCCGCTTGGCTCAATTTGCTTTTACGTGGGCCCCGACCACGTAAATAGATGTGATCTCAAGGGGTGAATGTAGAAGAGATGCTCTGTCAAATTGCTTTTGTTTAATGTACATAAATAATAAGAGTTCAACTTGGGATGGATGGACATAAGCTTATCCGAGCATACATTAAAACCTTGTAAAAAAAGCAAATGTTAACTCAAGGGAGGAAAGGGGCAGGGAATAATAGAAGGTGCTGGGCCCACAGAGCTGGACGACCCTCAAGGAGCAAGGATGATAATAAATGAGCCACGCTGGGCTGTGTCCACCGCTGAAACGAGGACGTAATCTGCATTGTGTGAGGCGGTGATGATGTATACCCCGCACATGGTCACTCACCTCAGCGAGCATGAAACATTCATCCCTAGTTGGAGGAGAATTCCGGTAGCATCTGTGGGGGATGATGTCCACCTCCCCGCTCCCAGTGAGCGGGCAGGGCGCGACGTCCACCCCCTCCACTCCCCCCTCCTCGTCGGCTGCCTCTCTCCGGGCCGCCGCTGATCAAGTGATCGGTCCCCCCACGCCAGCGCCCATTCTGAGGGACATAACTACTCGGCTGGCTCACCACCGCCCGGGGTTATCTCCACATGCTCACACACCCCACCACAAAAGGACAAGAACGAACGAGGTGTGCACGAGTGCGCCCCTGTAGGTGCGTTTTTCCCTCGCAAAGGTGAGCGCTGAACAAAACGGCGGCAGTATGAATATGCACACCTACCCCCCCCCCCTAATCCGTGTGCCCGCAAATCTAATGCTAGCGGAAAAGGATAGGCGCTATTTTTACTGTCTAAACGCGCTGCATAAAGCGCGCTGTATAAACAACGCGAGCGTAAACACGCGCAAACGATGGCGGCTGCAGTACACGTGCGTCACGCGCACGCTCAAATCACCACACCCACTCTGCAGCCCTGCACCCGCTCTCACGCCGGGCACACCATCGCTCCACGCAGACGCACCACACAGATCACAGACGCTACGCCGAGGGTCTGCCCACACACAAATCACACTACACCGATATTCTGAACTAGAGTTTATTAATGGCGCCAATACACATTACCCTGAGGAATATTTCGCGAGGACAGCCTAGCGTAACTCTGCCTATGAACCCAGCTACTCAAACGTCCTACCCCGTACCTTGAAACTGGAATCGCGGCGTCCCATGGACGCTGAGAAAATTGGAGGGAGAATGACGAGAGAAGTCTTGCCCAATCACTGTCTCGCAGCAGCACTCGCTGGCATCACACGGATGTTGTGAGCGGCTTGAAGAGGCAGGACAGCAGGCAGGAAGTGGGTCGTGACAGCCTGGAGGTTGGAGACAATCTCCAAGCTGTCACGGGGCTCCCACCTTTATTCTCCCGTGCCCAGTTGTTCGAGACTTCGGTTTTTCTCTTTACGCCTAATATTCCACCCTTCGTCCTCCCCCCAATGTTGTGAGTAACTCATTGCGGTTGGCCGAAGGAACCTTTTTTTTTGCGCCCGTACAATTTAAAGCCAATTTAGGGGCACCGCAATGTAACCTGTCCTGTGGGGGTCGGCCAATCTCCTGGCACCGGGAAACCTAGGGGCCCTTCGGATTAAAACCCGATGTACCAGGCAACCTCCCACCAGGACACTACGTGGGTGCGCTGCATGCGGGTGTGTGTTCAGTGCAGGTGGCCGGGAAGGGATTGCGGCGTTCGCGTCGCACCGCGGTCGTGGCACCACACATCTGCTGCTCCGAAGTTGTGAGATTGATTGCTTCGGGCATGGAGGCCGATGCAAGAGTGGAGGCTGCCGCAGGCATTTCGTCCAGCACGGTTGAGGTACTGGTCAGCTGCGGCAGCTTCTGACCAACCTGATGGTAACAATAATGAAGTTGGTGGTGATGGCAATGATGATGGAGTGATGTAATCGGCTAGTGTGCTGGTACTAGGTGGATTATTATATCAAAAGATTGAATCAAATAGCGGCTTGAGACCATCCAGCAGTGGAGACATGAATCTCGAAGAGGTGACAAGGTTCGAGGGAAGGCATCTGTGGTACTCGCTAGCTTCTTCAGTTTAGGTAGCCGTGTTTGCCCGGTATTGTAGAAACACGCATGCAATCAGGGGTGGGACACGAGCACATGGCGATTGCACAGATTGACACCGTCCGTGCTGCCTTTATGCAACCCTCTGCTACCAAGTTACACCACGAGCCTTGAAGCTTGACTCAATACAACATCTTGGTCCAGCTCGGTTAAACAATGAAAAGGAATTAAGGGAAACTGTGATGCCACAGTGGCGAAGCGGCTCTGCCGGTGCCCCACCTGCCAACCCACCACCATCAAGCAGCCTGGTCGACACTGCTCTTCCCTCTCCACCACCCACATGAACACACGCACACACCCCCACATAGAGCCTCGCGGGGAAGTCGCCTGGCCCACAGGTTTTCCCCAGGAATTGACCGAGGCTTCCTCCAGGTTGAATGGCGCTGCGGCACCGTGAATTAACGTGGAATTACACGGTCACGACGAGGCTACTCAGCCCCGTGGTTAAGACACACAACACACACAGGTTAGCAGGTAGGTAGGGGGCGGAGCCACGAACGGCGGGAAATCAGGGCGGGCGTCGAATTGGCAGGACAATTGTGCTTGTGCACCAAAGCCGCAGCCCCGCGGCAGTCCCTTTGATATGGAAATCGGAATGGGAAACGACGCTGAGAGCACCGAGGCAAGAGATGAGGCTGGGCGAAAGGAGCCAGAGCGATCTGATTGGCCAGGAAGGCCGCGGGATTAACCACCCGGACCCTTTGATGTAGTAGACAATAAAAGGGCCATATAGAGGGAAAGAGGTCGGTTCTTCTCATGTCAGCCATCGGGACGGTCGACTCTCCAGTCCAGCCACTCGAACGTCCGTGTGACGAGTCGATGTGCTGTGAGGACGGGCCATATGAGTCGAACGATGAGTACGAGAGAGAGGGAGATAGTGAATAGCATAAGAACCCCTTGAGAGGGTAACTCGAAGCCGGGCGAATTGGGTTCAGATTGTCGAGAGACAGAGTGGTTTCCTTGCAGATTTCAGCTCCGAGCCATGTAGAGGGTAATCTCAGTCACACGGGGAATAAACCATTAGTAATCAATAAACCGTTTCGTGTGTTTTCTGCGAAGTGTGGAGAGAGTGGTAACGTGGTGTGTGTACAGGCGTTCGTAAAGAGCGCGTGCGTATTCAGTGATAAAACGACCACACGTCGGTGCCGTTGTTTGCGCGCGAGGGCGTATTTACTCACGTGTTGCGCTCGCCCATGCGTGCTCACTCGGGGCTTAACATGCATGCCGTATCATCCGTAGCATGCGGTTGCCCTGGGAATTAACGGGCAGGTCCTCCGGCCGCTGATCCACTATTGCACGGGAGCGGCAGCGTAGCGTTCACCGCCCGCGCCGCGCGGGTGTCGCGTAGAGATAAATCGGCCGAGGTGAGCCATGCGCAGGCAGCTGCCGCGCAATTTTTAGTGTGTGCACGGGGCTGAGCAGCAACGTGCGGGTAGTTCCTATTAATGTTTAAGGGAATGCACGCGGAGGGTGTGTGAATGACCGAGGCGGCCAAGAGCCAGCGAGAGTTGTCTCATAGAGGAGAAGCGGCAGTGACGAGAGGCATGAAGAAGAGGAGGGAGGGGGAGAGGAATTGGGGGGCAGTAGCCCCAACAAAACTTTGTCTGTGGTGGGCTCTTTGCAGCACGTCAATGGTGAACTGTTTCTAAGCACCTTATTTCTTACCACTTAACCAAATTTTGCAAGGACAGTATAAGCCAGAAAATCACTGTCTCAATTTCTACAGTTACAGGACGTAAGCGAGTAGTCGTGTCATTTCAGTTAGGGCGACCGATTCGTGAGCGCCTTTGGCGTTCACTCAATTTGACACAGATGCACTCTTGCACGTCCAACATTCGCGTAGTCGGGTAATGGAGAAAACAAAGTTTCCCGTCCAACAGAAAGCAG